ACTTCAGACTGAGTTTGTTTTGCCCTTTAGATTATTTAGTTTTAGTTAGATTTAACAAAAACCGACAGAAAATGGACGAAACATACAAAATGCAATTATCTAACTCTGATTCTGTAAATAACTAGAAAAATTTAGGTAAAAAATTAAATATTAGTATAAATAAAACAAAAACCAAAATTTTAAATCTCCAATATTTAAATTTTAAATTTTCAGAGCAGATTAACAGACGGATTGCAAAATAAAACATAAAATTTTAACCTTTTTTTGTAATTTCTTATTTGTTTATCGCCTACTTCAAGGTTTCAAAACACGCAAATTAACGACAACGAACGGACAACGAAGCGAATATATTAACCAATTTTTAAAATCATTAAAGACTTAAAATAGCATAGACAGATATCATTTATTCCATATAACAGATGTGGACGAGACAGACCACTTCTTTTTTTTTGAAAAGATTGTTAACTTGTTTTTTTTTTAATTTCCTATTGTTCATCATCAGTCTTTACGTTAAGAAACCTTACAAATTAACGACGAATAAATGAACAAAAGAACGAACAGTCAGACAGACGAAACGAACACATTAACTAACTTTTAAATCGCTAAAAACTCAAGAAATATTTAAAAAGTTACAAGTATTTAGCCTAGATAAGCATCATTCATTACACAAGCGATACAATATCCGAAGATAATTTTTTTGATAGAGCACCTGCTGCAGATACTCAAGCACTTCTCGGAGTTATTTATTTATTATTTTTTTGTAGTAAATATTTTATTTTTTAAAATATAAAATAACAAAAATATATCGATTATTTCAGTTGATTTACACCACAAAATTTATACTAGAGTGTAGGTTATATTCGAAAATAAATTGCTTATTGTTCCATCTAGAGAATACTAAAATATTGTTTTCTACATTTTTATCTTTATATATATATAAATATATATTTTTATGCTTTTGTTAAAGCATAGACATATATATTATATTTATTTAGACAAGGTGTAGATTTATTGTATCATAATTCTGTCCACTTCTGTAGAAACTATCCACTATGATTTATTGATATTGGTTATAAAAGTGTCTTTTTCACTTTATTTTCAGTTATTACATAAAAAAATATTTTTTTCCTTATTTTAATTAAAAATTTTGAAGATATTTATGCTTAATTCGTGTATAAATTCGTTTTAAACAATGTATTTAATGTTAATCAAATCTTACGTTTAAATGCATTTAACAGAAACAATTATCAATTATTGAAACTTACAGTAAATTAAATTAATACTTTATATAATAAAAATGATTTTTAAAGTATTTTTTCGATAAAAAATTAATGAAAATGAGTTAAAAATGATGCGAATTTTTTAATACTAGGTATAAGTATGCGTGTGTGTGTTTAAGGAAACTTTTTTTTTATAATTTTCGCAATTAAATTCTGTTTTTGTTTAAGGAAAAAAAATGTAAAATTTAATTAAAAGTAAAAAGAATTTAAATTTTATTCAAATTCTTAAATGAAAAGAAGAAGAAAGGATCGAAAATAGCTTTTTTTTTTTATTTTCTATTTTAAAGGATAATCAATTGAAAAAAATTATACAAATGAGTCATTTAATAGTATAATTTTACTCAGTTTATCGAAGATTATTGAAGAATTGTTAATAATTTTATTTAAAAAATATTGTTAAATGAAACTTTAATCGTGTTTATTAAGTAAATTTCATTTTTAACGATTAAGAATGATAAAATTACACATATTCAAACAAATAATTCGAACGTTTATCCGCTTACTTTTTTCCATTATTTGAAACTAATAATTCAATTTAACTGGAATATTATCAATTTTTCAAATAGACACAACAAAAACAAGAATTAATTCATAAGCATTCTTATAAAGTGAAGCGATTAAAGCAACGAAGCGTGTTAAGTTACGCTACACTTCGTTGTCTAATGATAACTTTATCAGTTTTCTAATCACACTGATGTTTTCATCCAACTAAACGAAGGTGTATTTTAAAGTACATTTAAACATTTAGCGCTGCATCTTATAAAAATCGCAGTATGCCAGACAGCGTAACATCTCAAACACGCAATGATCTCATCGTGTAACACTATCCGACTCTCCACTAACGGAAGGGGGGAGAAAGGAAACTGTCTTTTACTTCCCTCTTGGCCTGCGGGTAAAGACACGATCACGTGATTGCACCAACAGGAAAAGTAAACAGCATTCGATCTGTCCAAGCTATCTATACATCATGTTCTTACTATAGGTCTTCCAGATTGACAGACGAGTGCTGTTAGCAGATGGTTTCTGATTAGAACATCTGGATAGAGGCAAGAAAATGCGCCACAACTGGACTAAATGGCTAACCTTTAGTCAATATTTGGCAAATGTTTATTTATTTAGATTGAGATGGGCTATTAGAGTCAAAGTATAAAATTACTCTAAGTGTTGCCTTCGATTATTACTTGCAGCATTAATTTAAACAATGTTCTATATTTTTATAACAGTAAATAAACACGTCACTTATCACTCCTCTACAGCTTGATCGATCGTAAATTGTAGAACGTATGACTTAGAATATGTTTATATATATACCAGATATATATGAAAGTATATAAAATATTTCCCGAAAGAAACATGATCGATTGTTAAAAGATTATTGTGCAGCATCTAACCTTAGAAAGGATCGTATATCAAAGGATATTGACCTTTCACATAGATTTCCAGCAATGCTTTCATCTTATTTATAAGTTGATTCTCTTGTTCATAGTTCGATAATATCCTGGGTATTTGGCGAAAATGAAGTTTGCAAGTATCATAGTTTCTCAATTTTCTCCCTTGCATCAACTAAAATCTTCGACTAAGATCCAAAATCGAGTTGTATTAGTTGTGGACCATCAACTTTATAAACAGGATAAAGGTGACGATTTCCGAATAAATTCTTGTTTCTGGTAAAAGGAATAGTTTAATCCTTTTTAGGTAATCCGATTTGGGACCATTAACCTATTTCGGGCTATTCCTCATAGGAATTCTTATAATCTACTAAAATAATTAAGTTCTGATGGCCTTGTTTTCGTAATATTCTCATTATGTATGTAGCAAAGGCATTAAGGAATTATTATTTATCATTGGATTTTCTAGTGAAAAATAAATTATATACAAATTGATGAGTTATAAATACATTTTTTTTAAAAAAATAATATTGTATTAATCTATAAAGTAAAACGAAAAATATATTGAAAAATACCTTCTTGCAACAAACAATTTATTCCATGAACATACAAAGCTTGTACTTTATCTGTACTTGTGCTTCATTTTTAGATAAATATCTTTTTAAAGTATAAGAAATGAAGCGCAGTATTAAAAAATACTTATTGCTTTTTTATATTGGCTTCATTTATCCAAAAAGAAATTCAACGTAAAAACACTTGTAAAGGTTTTTTATTTCTAAAAAGTGAAGTACAATATTTAAAAACAAACTATTCTTTATAAAAGAAAAAATATCAAATTTTTAGTATTTTTTTTAATACATTTAACTTTATAAAATATGAAAAATGCAACTATTATAAATGTACTTCATTTGAAAGTAAATGTAAGTGAATTATAACTAGCAAATATTTAAATTCGTTTAATTTTTCAAAAATAAACCTCAATGTAAAGAACACTCCCTTTAGAAAATCTATCGAATTTTTAATATACTGTCGAACCCCCTATAACGGCCACCTCTAAACAGCGGCCATTTTTTTTCCAGAGACTTTGAACAAAAACACATACAAAATAACCCCCAAAAAGCAGTCACCTTCCAGCAACGACCATTTTTATGTTCCCATCAATGGCCATTGTTTAGAGGTTTGACTATATGTATTTTTATAAATTAAAATTTTAAAAATACCAAAAATTTTAACAGCTTCTTATGAGAAAGTTGCCTACATTAACTATATTATTCATGTTTACTCATACCAAGGGTGGGAAAAAATAAAATAAAAAGTTTTAAATACCGATCTGAATTTTACATTAAAAAATATTTATATAAAGAAGTAATAAATTTGTATAACACGAAGACGTGTTTTTGAATTTTAAACATAAATTTATATAACTTTATTATTACTTGTTGTTACCAATAAAATGGCTTTAATGATATTCTGAATTGCATTCAACCTAATTCTAAAGCTAAAAAGAATGTATAAATAATGATTAATTAAAGTAAAATTTGCTGAATTTTTTATATCGTCGAGTCAATTAAAATTCTGTTGAGTTTCTAAAGTAAAATTCCTTTTTTTATGATCGATCATATATTATCATCATCATACATTTACTAAAGCTTTTCTCTCTAACATATTAAAAANTAAACTGCTTCTAAACTCTCGAAGATTTTTATTTATTTTTTCCATTTTATACTTATAAATACTGAAGTGGAAACTCTAGAGAATAACTCTAAATCATTTATTGAGCGAAACGATCGAAGAAAAGTAAAAATATTAAATAAAATCATTAAGAGAAGCAATTAAATATGTCAACCTGAAGGTACAAAAGTACCATTTTAACCAATTCTCTATCAAGAAAAATGCAAATTTTGCATCTAAAAATTTGACTTTATTGTTAATTTTGAGACTTAGAATAATTTTAAATGAGACAAATTTAAAGATGTATTTATTTTTAATTTTTAAAGACTATTTTTAATCATTTAAAATGTTAAAATTATTATTTGATATAATTTACTAAAGAAATATGTTATATCTATAGAAAGGAACAGCTAAGATAGCAGCTACTGGACAGTATATTTTCTTTATAAAATGGTAAACAAAATAATAAAATAAAGAAAATATATTGAGTCTAGATAAAAAAAAAATCAAATAAAAAGTATCCGGAGACACATAAGGGTGCTTTAGAATAATGTCTTTATTGTTTACAGTCTTGTTGTTATAAATAATAAGTTTTAATGAATTGTTTGATAGTATTGTTCCAGATCATTGATACGTAATAATCCCTGATTAATTCCTAAATTTTATTTTACTTTATTTTTTTCAAAATTATTTTTATTTTACTTATCGCACTTGTATATAACTTAACAAAGTTTGTTATGTTTCAATTACACGCTTTGATTTAACATAATGAGAATCGTATTTTATTCCTAAATTTAGAAACTTTAAGGAAACTTACTGTAAAGAAGGAATTATATCCGATTAAATTAGTGGAAAACATAAATTTAAATTAGAAAAACAAAGTAAAAAATTAAGCTAATAAGTGCGCATTCTTAGAAGTACGTAACTCAAAAGTGTGTATTTAAAGTAAGGAGTGTAATCTTAAACGTATGTAACACTTAAAAAAAATTAAGTTTTTATATTTATTTATATATTTATCATATAAAAATGGTGAAGATATTAAGAAAATAATATTTTAATTTAGGACAAATATTCATTTTGGGAGAGTGAATATTCTTTTGGTTAACACCTTTAAGAATATTCATTACTTTAAGAGAGAATCTTAAGAAAGATTACATGTACTCGGTTGTTTACGTCCTTACATAAACAATGAATATCCAGGAGTAGATAGAATTGTGTTCATTTAAAATAATCAATATTCACTATTCTTATAACATAGATAAAGATTTGTGCTGAAAGAAGGAATATCCCCTGGTAAATATCCTTAAGAATGCTATCATTATTTTAAGAGAGAATACATTACTTGTATATTTACATTCTTACACGAATAGTGAATATTCAGGAGTAGATAGAGATATTTTCATTTAAAATAAAGAAGTGATACATTCGCTATTTTTTATAAGGCAGATAGATAGATACACTCAAGATAAATATCCAGCATTCAATATAAAAGTATAGAATCTTTAAGTTATAATATCTTGATTATATGCATTCTAGTTGAATATTGAATATCAAGTAGAAATATTCTAATTCAAGTTAAGATTCTGTATTTTTTGAAGTAGAAGTTAATGGAGTTTCAAAGAAATACATATTCGCAGCCAACAAACGTATACAGAAACAGTTTCATTCGAAAAAAGTAGCGGAGTGACTTATATTTCTTGACTTTAAAGTGCAGTTTTGGAAATAGAATTTTTGGATTCATTGTCAGATGACGTCATATCCAAAAGCGAATGGAAAATGGAATTTGATGCACGGAAAATAGAAAAAGACCGAATTTCCTCTTTATATCTTCCATATAGAAAAGAATAACCGTTCTTTTATAAGCATCATAGAATATATTTTATAAAAAGAATGGGAAAAATTATGATATTTTACAAAGATTAAACGAATTTAAAGTATGTAATTGCTAAATTAATTAGAAATTAAATTAAGAACAATTGAAAAGGAGTCTTGAAGAGCGCAATGGATAAAGAAGATTCTATCGCTTCCTCTAAGTAAAGAAGATTTATCTGGTATAAAGAAGAGACAATTAATAGATATTTTATCGATTGGAAACTTTACTTTTTTGGTAAAGTTGTGCTAAAAGTGTCAGCAAGAATCTAAATACTTTATGTACTGGAAGCCTCCTTGGATATCGCAAAACCTGCATTTCCTTTTCTTGAGCAGATATCATGTGATCCAGAGAGTAACGACTCTACCATTCTCTCTTCCTCAGGGAGAATGGGATCGGCAGAGGGTGAGCATCATTTTATCTTTCCTACAACTAATGTAGACCTATTTATAGAAATGATGAACGGTCAGCGGAAACTAAGGCTTGCAGATATTATTATTATAATGAGATAGGATTTTTGTCGGCGTGTTTCTTACTATTAAATTAAGAATAATGAAGTATAATTGGGTCAAAACATTACCAAAAATTTCAAAAAAATTTAAAGTTTAATGAGAATTTTCCAGAAAAATTTCATAAGTACTTTTTTCGATTTGACATAAATAATAAATGAGATATAAAAGTTTTATGTAATTTAATAAAGATTGGTAAATTATACGGAAAGTTAAAACTGATGCTTTTTAAGTCTAAAATTATTTAAAACTTTAGCGTTAATTCTCCATAGAATTGCTTGCTTGTTGATTAAATTACAGTTTATTTTACGCCACCAGCTATCTCAATTACTGTATTATACATTTTAAAAAATGACTTTTAAACTGCTTCTAAACTCTCGAAGATTTTTATTTATTTTTTCCATTTTATACTTATAAATACTGAAGTGGAAACTCTAGAGAATAACTCTAAATCATTTATTGAGCGAAACGATCGAAGAAAAGTAAAAATATTAAATAAAATCATTAAGAGAAGCAATTAAATATGTCAACCTGAAGGTACAAAAGTACCATTTTAACCAATTCTCTATCAAGAAAAATGCAAATTTTGCATCTAAAAATTTGACTTTATTGTTAATTTTGAGACTTAGAATAATTTTAAATGAGACAAATTTAAAGATGTATTTATTTTTAATTTTTATAATATATTTTTAGAGTGAGAATGGTTTCACTGTTACGTCTTCTAGCACTGCTAAGAAGTATCCTCATTTGGCAATAATTTTATAAATTTAATGCTAGGTCGGTAGTTGAAGGAGATGAAAATAAAGAAAATTAAAAAAAACTGTCGCGAAACAACAATTAAAATCGTCGAGCAATTCGAGAAGAAGAGGAGCAGAATGTTATTTAAGCAAAGGGAAATTAACTTTCGAATTAAGAAGAGAATATATGTAGGGATATTTTATGCGTCGTTAGTTTCAAATGCGACGATAGTTAATTATAAAGGCCAAAGCTAATAACAGTGGATAAATAGATCAAGAGAGAACTGGCTCGTAATAACGATGGCAACAATTTGCATACTATGAATACAGAAATGATCGTTTTCCAAGCTCACTCTAGGGTCGATTGGAGTAATGTTGTGCAGTCTTGTTTCCGGACGTTCTGTTTGGCGACAGACAGACTGTCTGTTGTGAGTTACTCCTCTGTAAAGCTGCTAATCAATCCCTAGAAAAAAAGGGGAGCAAATGTCGACTTCGCCTTTATTATACAGCAAACCGAGCGAGAAGAAATCCTCCATTTATTTATTTTTTTTTTATTTTTTACTAAATGTAATTCTTAAATTTTTCACTTAAGTATACTTATTAACAAAATTTCCATAATACAAAAAGTTCTGACTAGAAAAAGAATTTCTTTAATAATTTTTGGTGATGTTACCAACGTATTAACAAAGATTCGGAGCGGTATTGGCACAACTCCCCATATTTAAAGTAGCAGAATAAACAAATATTATGTATTTTCATAATTATATATAATTAAATTACCCATTTTTATAAAATGAAAGCACTTCAACAATACTGTTACATCCTTTTGCCAACATTTTTGTGCAATACTTCTGGGAAAAAAAGGATAAAATATAGGATGTTGCTGATGACTAAATGGGATTTCCTTAAGATTTGTCATCAAAATATTTAAAAATTTTTTATATCTCAATAACGAATCGTTCAATAAGATGTTATTTTGCAAATTAAATAAAGAAGTATATGAATTTTACAAGTTGCAATTGGGTTTTTTAGTCACGAAATGACAATTTTCTTAAGTACACGATTACATTTGAATGAAATTTGTTTGTTTAAAGAAGAATGGAAAATTGAAGGAATAAAATTTATTTTATCAGTCCTATCAGTGCAAAAAACTTGTAACTATAGAGAGAAAATCAAGCCGCAGAAGCCATAAAATCTAACTTTAGCTGATTCTGCACGTTTCCGTTTGGGATCAACAAACTTCAGCAATAAAATTCCAATTGCAAAGTATAGAGAATTAAGAAATCAACTAGATGTAATGAAGAAGAATAAATTTTTAAAATCATTTATTTTTTTGGGCAAGTTTATTTTAAAAATTAATACAAATTTCTCAAAGATTTATGATACGAAATTTTGTTTCTTATGTAAAAAATAAAAGTAGAATCGATAAAATTCGATGAATAACTCTTGTATCGATTTTTCTCTATTTAATCCGCATCACAGATTCTAGACTTGAATGAATTTCTTTTGTTATAAGGAAGCCATCGATCTTCCATTGTTTCATTTATGTCAAAGAGTGAAGCCACAAAATTACCGCAACAACACGACTGAGTTAAAGATCAGACGTAATAAAAATTTAACGATACTTGGCGGATTACCATAACATGTTTTTACTCATAACTCCAACAAACTAAACTTTGCGAAGTATGTAACTTAAGTAATTTAATAACTAATTGATCCTAGATATAAATATTCCTATCGTATATATTTTTTTAACTTGGAGCAATGATTATGAGCATTAATTAAAACGTGACTTGTAAAAAAATCTCCTAACTTTCCTTGATTTTTTTGGAGCATTAAATTATAAAAAGCGTCGTGAAAAAATAAGATTTAAAAAGAGTAATTGGCAAAATTATAGATTAAAATGTTCTTATTTTAGCACAAAATAAAATAATGAAAATGATAAACTTTAACTGTCAATAAAATTACTTTTATAGAAGTAAACTTAAAGTAAAAATTACTCTTAAAAAAAGTAACTTTAACCAAAGCTAAGTGAAAAAATATTCCCGAAAAAGTAAGATTTAAAAAGCCATAATTGGTAAAATTATACATTAAAATGTTTCTAGTTTTAACACAGAATAAAATAATGAAAATGAAACTAAGCGTATGAAGTTTGTCCTAAAAAAAGTTAACTTAAATGATGCTAAATCAAAAAATTGTTCGTAAAAATTAAAAATTAAGAAACGATAATTGGCAAAATTATCTATAAAAATGTTCTTACTTTAATACAAAATAAAACAAGTAAAATTATAAACTTAACTAAAGCTAAGTTAATAAAAATTTTAAATGATTACAAATACACATTTCAAGAAATTTAATTAATTCTTATTATTACGATACATTTTAATGATTCATAACTTATTCGTTATCAATAATTGTGGTACATTCTTGAAAATAATATTTAAATTAATAGCGATCGAAATTATTTCCTTTTTTTATTTTTATTTTTATATTTTTAGAAACATCTGTAACAGACATAAACATAAACACAGGATTTACTTCTCGATCGTAAATTATAAAAGTAAAATCAAAAAATAAGAAGAATAGATTGGTTGCATGCTCTTAAAAATGTAGTAAAGAAGATAAGCCATTTAAAATGTAAAAGTAATTATCTATAACAAAGATATAACAACAATATTTATTTGATTTTCCAAATTTTTAAAGAGAAAATAAATTTATTGCTTGTATCGACTTAAGTCAAGCTTAGTTGTTATTATTAGAGAACATTAAGTTAAGGAAACTATAAATTAAATGATCCATATTCATACATTATGAAACCTTACCAAAATTTTACAAATTTTGGCAACAAAAACGATCCGATAAGAGACATTTAATTTCTATTTTCAATTTAAATTGTACATTAAAATATTTTGTAATTAATAATAGAATAATCACTCTGTTTTTAAAGTTATCGCATCCCCATCATTTGATAGAATAAAAGATGAGAAGGATCACGATTGATCCTTCTTATCTTTTATTCCTTGGAGAGAAATTTGTGTAGTTTATAATTATAAAAACTAATATTTTCTCTGATAAAAATAGTGAATAGTTTAACAAGAAGGATTATTAGAGGTAATAAAACATAAAACTTCACTGATAAACATTTTCAAGGTAATCTTTTAATTATGACAAACGAAGATTACTTGTTTGTTTTACATTCGTGTGTAGCAACAACAGGAGTCGAGAGAAAATTTATAGTGGAATAAGTGAAATGTCAGTCGAAATAAAATAAAAGATATTTTTGAAAGAGTGTTAGTTGAACTCGCGTGTCCGACAAATCCTGAAATATGAGTTTGGATGGTTGATAATGATCATTAAAAGAGAACTTGCAATATCTTCGTTTACTTTAGCTGATGGTATCAGTCAATAATGTAATTCATTTATGTGAAATGACTTCTTAAATTCATTAGAGCAAAGAAGGAAAATGTGTACAATGTAAACAATTATATGAAAAATCTCTTGAATTACGAGTTTTTATATTAAGCAACATATAAATTCTGTTAAGTAGATGAGAATTTCGTTAGTGAAATATGTAAGAATAAAGATGAATTTCTTTGTTATATTTAATAAATTTTCACTTAATTACTGATTTCTTTAATTAATATCATTAAATAAATGAGAATTTGTTCAAATTAAAATTGAGAAATATTAAAAGGAAGATTTTATATTACAAAATCCAAAGAAATTCTTTAAAATTTCATGAAATTTTCTCTTCTTCATTACTCAACTTTGTTCGTGTTCGAGTAATTATGAAAAAAAATCATATTCATATAAAATGTATTTGTCATTAATATTTCGAAATTTTTTAATCATTGTAATTAACCAAAAACTTGTATAATGTAATTTGATAACCACCAAAAGTAGGAAAAATATAATTGAAAAAAGCAAACATAATAATAAATTCATTGTATATTCATTATTGTTATTAACGATGTTGTATTATTCTTACTTCGAAAAACTAGTGAAAAAAGAAAAGATAATTGAAAAAGTAAAATTTTAATAGAGGAAATTCGATCATCACCTTTAAAAATTATTATTACTAATAGGAATATGCAAAATCGAAATCTTTACAGGACTTGTTTTACATTCTGAACAACGAAAGATTTATCGTTTGGTGAGAAAGGCAATTCCGGGCCTTCAGAAAGTTCAGGTTTTTTCTTAAAATAAAAAAAAATTGTGATATATTAATTAAAAATATTTAAAAAAGGCTTATTTGCTTCCAATTTTATGTTATTTTATACCAAAGGTATAATCCATTTAGGCCTATATCCTATTTCAGAGGAATTTCACAAGGTCGAATTTATACTTCAGATTGAATAAGTGTATACATTTAGCATACCTAAACAAAAATCCTTACTATAAATAACAAAGCAAACATTATAAAATATTATAAAAATGGTCATAATACTTGTTTTTATTCTATTTATTTATTTAGTTTTTGTTGTTAATTAATGTTAAAAGTGAAACAGGAAGGCCATAAGAACTTATTTTTATCGTACTATTTTATATTTTATTGATCCTCATTAAAAGCTATGAAAGACCGCATTTTGCCAGACAATTTTCTAGAATACTAGATTAAAAACCAATATATTCGCTTCTGTTTTATAGTAAGAAATAACTTAAGTGTTAAGCTGATTAAAAACAAATCGGTCTATTATCTTAAAAATTTAATATTTTAAGATAATATATAGTTGCGTGTTATTTACTGCTTTTTTTTTATTTGTTTATACAAAGGAGTCCATTTGAAAACAACGAGAAGAGTTCCAATGCCCAAAATCCTCCACTAATCCTGAATGTGATAAAGAAGAATATGACGAAGGATTTCCTTTATTCTCTACGCCTTTTCAGGAAATAATGCTGATTAACATATCCTGAATACGTTTTAAACGAAACTTAATTTGGATTTAACAATATAAATGCCAAATAAGATTTGTAAGATGGAAGATTTCGTCGAAAATGATGTAATTTCTTCCGTTGAGTTAATCATTTAATCAAAATTTCTAAAACGGATATTGCTCGCTTATAACATTTTAAATTAATTCTAACTAATTAATACTAAATTAGTTACACAAATAGTTTCATTAATAATAAATAACGTTTAATTAATTTAGATTTAATGTTAATATTGCCATACATTAATTAATGTAAATACACATAACCCCCATAGAGAAATACAGAAATTTATTTTGATAAATTATATCTTTGATATATAAAATTTCATGTTATGAAACTTTGTCGTTTAATGAATTTAAAATACATATTAAAGTAAAGCAAAGTACGCTTAATTTCTTAATTTTAAAATATTATAAGTGATATACGAGAATGGTTCCAAAAGTTCTCGGCCTCATTCTGTAGGAATGATCTTGGAAAATTATGTTAAACTATGGAAAAGCAAGTGCTCGAGCAAGTAGATTTTAAAGGTCCATTGCCCGAGCTCTTGTTTCTCTATTCTTCTTCCTTGGCGCACTTAGTCATTTTCTAGAGTAGTGGTTCTTAACACCATTGAATTTTTTAAACGTTCTTTCCACGCGAAAACTTTGTTAAGATGTTCATATAAAGGATTAAAGAAAGGATGTCTTATTTTCTCGTATGTTTATCTTAACTTTAGTCACATCTTATGCAATTACAAAGAAAATTCATTTGTACCGATTCATCAATATAAAAACATTTAGGTCCAGATTAAAGATTTACAACAGATTTAAATACTTTTATATAATTATGTGTTTAAGTTTGATCTTGGTATATTTATACTAAGATCTTATTTAAAAAAAAAAAAAAACTTAGTTCTCAATGAAAAAGGTAAAAATGATTTTAAAAATTCAATAAAAGAAAAAATTTTATTTCTCAGTGAAGATCTCACAGAAGTCTATTGAGAACTATTATTAAGAACCATTTCGAGACACCTTTTGTATAATAGAATACCAGATTAAGAACCACTGTTTTAGAACCTACAGGAAAATAAACGAAATAACTAATACGCTTTAATTAATCAGTAATCACATCAAGATATGTATTATTAAGTCTTAAAAATTTATAAATCTGAAACTACTCCTTCAGGTAAGACCGAGAACTTCTGCAATAATCTACATACCTTGTATAACAGTTTATTCCATTCGAAGTTGTGAAATTGGACACGAAACTCGTAAAATATTTTCGTGAATTACTTTCAATCTTCAAACTTCGCCACATAATTTCCGAATTTCGTTTCTCAATGTAGAAAACAACAACAACAACAAAAAAACGAAAGATTTTATTTAAAATTAAAAAAAAATTTTTTTTCCATAAAGTTGTAAGAGCACAAACAAAATATAATACATCTAAAATTTTTAAATTTATTTATTTAGTCGAAAATGAAATTTGCTCTAAATTCGCTTGAAATTTTTATCTTTAAACATTAAGATTTATCTACAACCGAAAATAAGATAAAATATATGACTTGTCCTAGTTTCTAAATGGTAAAATTTAATACATTTTCACTCTATGAATCTATAATGAAATGACATAGATTTCGTCTTTTATTGTGAATTGCTATTTTTAATTCAATGTCTGTCTTTGACAGAAATAAAGAAAATACAGTATATAAATTCAAGCAATAAACTTATAAAATAAATTATAAGTAAAATTGGCCTAATAGTTAGTTAACCATTGTAAAGACTAATTCAAATACTTCACTACTTGATCATATGTATCACTTTAACTTAAGTATAACTTAACCGAAACACAAAAATACGGTTAACTGACTTTTGGGTCATCCTGTGTTTTAGTTTATTTGCAACACTAAAAGATTGCAATTAACAAAGAAAGAATTCTGAGAATATGTATGTGTGTGTGTGTATATATATATACAGTATATACATTTCGATGACTTATCGAACATTACAACCATTTATTTTATATGTAATGTTTTGTAATATTTCAAATTTTCCATTTTAATCTTTTATTATCATTTTAGCAGGAACATCTTACATCCTTTCATTGTCTAATCATTTTAAATAACTTTTTTAAAATGAAATTTATAACTAATAAAGAATTTAAATAAGAGAGTAATTTGGTCTTTACAACGGTTAACTTACTTTTTGGACACTTCGTACTTTAGTTAATTTGTAACATCCGAAGAAGGTTCAATTTTTTTTTTAAACTATTTTTATATATTTCGATGACTTATCGAATATTGAAACCATTTATTTAAACGTCATGTTTTGCAATTTTTCAAAATTTCCGTTTTTAATCTTTTATTATCACTTTAACAGGAACATCTTTCTATCCTTTCATCTTCTTACCAACATCAATGATAGGTAAATTGTCAAATTTTATATACACACATCGGAACTATAATAAATATCAAATTTAAGGTCATTTTAGATAGATTTTATATCATTCAAAAACCATTTGTATAGGTTGAAAACGTATGAGATGTACTAAAATGGTTTTGCGTGAGGAATTTTTTACATTTTTGCACTTATTTTAATTTACTGTAACAATTCAAAAGATAAATATAACCCAATTCTGGTATCTGAATTATTTTTATGATCCAAAGATCAGCATTTAGATACGAAGGATAAAATAGGTTCTCGTAAAAAAATAATTGCTTAAAGTAAATTCTTACGTGTTTGTATGCAATTTACAAGAGAATATTCAGTAAAATTTTGTATAATTTATAATTATTCAGCAACGTGGCAATTACATTCTCATTACATAATCAAGGAATGATATAAACAAACAGAGTAAACTATAATGTACAGTACATGACTATATATTCACGGTTATAATGAATTTATAATATTTATACAGTATATTAGCAGTATATGTTTGTTTTCTGTAAGAATTTACGTTAAATTAGTTTAATAATTTATTTGTTTAAGTGTTTACTTTGTAAAATTACTAATTCTTTATGTAATCTCATAAATTTTAGAAGGTTATTACTTAATAGAAACTCATATTATTCTCTTAATTTCCAGTTTATATAAGAAAATTTAACCTATTACGTGGAGGAATCGATATTAAAATATTCTCTTGATGGCAATTTTTCTGTTTATACGATGGCATAGCCAAAGAATAAACATGGCACCATTAGAGCATCTTTGTGGAAAGTTGATGCAACTTTAAATCGATTTGTTTCTTAAGGGGTCAAATTTGAAAGTTTAAAATTTATATAAGGAATTGGAGAAGCTTTGGCAGATTTATGGACTTGGTTTACATTATGCTTTATTGTCGCTCTGTCTTCCAAAACGGATATTTTGTTTACAATCTTGGCATGACTAATAGAAGGAATGGAAGCTTGCAGGAACTTCTGTCCATAAATATCTTTTAGAGGCGCTCGGGCTGTTCAGAATTGTGTGATCAAGTGAAGATTGGAAAGGTCGCAACTGCTACTTGATGACACTCGTACCCTCGACTAAAAATAGTCAACCGTTACGTATAAAATGGAGAGATAAATTCTTGTAAAATACCATTTTTCTACACCTTCATTTACAACTTTTAATATATTAATATGCTTAATTATATACAATGCATTAATAAAACTACTTAAATATCATAAACAGCATCACTTGTAACACGCTTCTTNACTGGCTCGTAATAACGATGGCAACAATTTGCATACTATGAATACAGAAATGATCGTTTTCCAAGCTCACTCTAGGGTCGATTGGAGTAATGTTGTGCAGTCTTGTTTCCGGACGTTCTGTTTGGCGACAGACAGACTGTCTGTTGTGAGTTACTCCTCTGTAAAGCTGCTAATCAATCCCTAGAAAAAAAGGGGAGCAAATGTCGACTTCGCCTTTATTATACAGCAAACCGAGCGAGAAGAAATCCTCCATTTATTTATTTTTTTTTTATTTTTTACTCTTTCTTGGTCCTTACATCAACAAAACCCATAAAATAAGACTTCAAATTGGATACTTTTGCATATTTATTTTATATAAAAATATTTATTTTAAAAAATAAACTTACATTAAAGCATAGTTAATATAAACGTACAGGGAACTCTTAATATAGTGAAATCTCAAACGACTAAGCTAAATCATTCACTATTTAAAGAATAGAAGGAATATATAAAATTGTTTAAAGTTCACTATATTGAGTTTTATATGCCGGTTCCATGTTCATATTCAGTGCGGTTGAATACTCCTTATGTGTTATATTTCCTTTATAAATGTTTGAAAAATAAATAAACAAAACTATAATACATCTAAAATTTTTAAATTTATTTATTTAGTCGAAAATGAAATTTGCTCTAAATTCGCTTGAAATTTTTATCTTTAAACATTAAGATTTATCTACAACCGAAAATAAGATAAAATATATGACTTGTCCTAGTTTCTAAATGGTAAAATTTAATACATTTTCACTCTATGAATCTATAATGAAATGACATAGATTTCGTCTTTTATTGTGAATTGCTATTTTTAATTCAATGTCTGTCTTTGACAGAAATAAAGAAAATACAGTATATAAATTCAAGCAATAAACTTATAAAATAAATTATAAGTAAAATTGGCCTAATAGTTAGTTAACCATTGTAAAGACTAATTCAAATACTTCACTACTTGATCATATGTATCACTTTAACTTAAGTATAACTTAACCGAAACACAAAAATACGGTTAACTGACTTTTGGGTCATCCTGTGTTTTAGTTTATTTGCAACACTAAAAGATTGCAATTAACAAAGAAAGAATTCTGAGAATATGTATGTGTGTGTGTGTATATATATATACAGTATATACATTTCGATGACTTATCGAACATTACAACCATTTATTTTATATGTAATGTTTTGTAATATTTCAAATTTTCCATTTTAATCTTTTATTATCATTTTAGCAGGAACATCTTATATCCTTTCATTGTCTAATCATTTTAAATAACTTTTTTAAAATGAAATTTATAACTAATAAAGAATTTAAATAAGAGAGTAATTTGGTCTTTACAACGGTTAACTTACTTTTTGGACACTTCGTACTTTAGTTAATTTGTAACATCCGAAGAAGGTTCAATTTTTTTTTAAACTATTTTTATATATTTCGATGACTTATCGAATATTGAAA